ATTACGCAACAATGTTTAAGACGAAAACTAAATGACGCAGTATTTAATTTCGAGCATTGTTGATAAATATATTAAAGTATATTATCAACAATGGAAGGATTCAACGCAAAACGCCAGCCAACATCAGCCCTGAGCTATATGCGTTCGTTGATTTTAGATATACGATGTGGACGATACAATGCGATATAATGTTGACGTATTATGGCGATTGACGAGATCCTGTCATGCCGTTGGTAATACGTACGAAGCGAAAGATCAGAAAAGAAAGGAGATTCTGCTAGAGGGTTCGCGTTTTGCTTATCCTTAGACTGATTTTGATCATAAGACTGAATGACGAGAAATTTCTCCGTTTCAATGCTCGCGTTCATGTTTGTGTTTTCACTAAGTTTTGGTCATCTTATTGATCGAGAACGATTTCAGTGTCTTAAACTGCTCATGATTAGTTGAAGTTGATCGAAATGTCGTTGAAGTTTAGCGAATGTGACATATTCTTCCACAATCGAAACAGCTTTATGCTGAAATGATCTATGAAATCGTTTGTTCTTGTTAGAGTTGCTCTTTAGTCGCTATTCTTGGTTGTTTTCTGTTTCGCGACTAGTTGAGTGCAACACCAAAAAAATGCTAGTAATTCATTAGATTCAGTGTACAGTTATTGGGTGTTTTCCGAAAAAAAGTTCCATCTGTCATACATTGGTAAATGGAGCTGATTGATCGTGGCAGAAGTTGATCAAATTGATCAAATTCGTAGCTGAATTGAAATTGTTTACAGCATATTGTTCATGATTACGATACTACATTTCACTGAAGATTACTTATTTTATCATTGAACTGGTCTGAGTGAGCAGCTGTTAAAATCTCGAATACTGTTGATTGTATTCAATCGACGCACTTTCTTTCAAAACAACCACCACTGGCGTGTGGCTGTTCAGATGGAAATTGATCAGTAGCACCGTATGGAAGAAGCAAACGAAATTTCAGGTCGTGAATATGCACTACAAGCGTACAGTATTGACGAGAACAATTTCAATGTGTTGAAGTGGACTGCGGTCGTGGTTGGATCGTTGACCGATCATTTGGGAACACAAGAGAAAATTGAACAAGGATACCTTTTTAAGGTTCGTGATCATTGCGAGTTTCATGTCAAATATTTTCTCAAATATTAAATTTTCATTTAGTTCACGGCCCATTTGTTTCAGTCCGACTCTCTGCACAAGCATTCTTTTGGTTGGTTGGTGTGTGATTGTTTGCTATGTGATTGTTTTGTCTAGAAGTGAACATTTTGCAGGAGTATTTGGACAGAGCCATAGCGATTCAGCCTAAAGATACTACGCTATTGCATATGCGCGGCAGATTCGCCTATTCGGTGGCCAATTTGTCGTGGTTAGAGCGAAAGGCTGCCACCATGTTGTACTCGAAACCACCTGAAGCGACGGTCGACGAAGCGCTCGAAGATTTCCTTGAGGTCTTTGAAACGTTCCAAATTTCGTTCGCTTTCCATATCGTTACCATCATTCAGAACTGCCCGTCAAATAGCTGCTTTCGTTTCGAATTTCCAGCAAAAATTCATCGATTGTTCCCAAATGTGCACTTCAGTTTCGCCCAACGAACTTATTTTATATTTCATCTTTACTTCAGGTGGAAGAACTGGAACCGAGCAGTTGGATTGAGAATCTCTATTATCTAGTTCAGTGTTTATTGATCAAGAAAAACAAGCAAGAGGCTGTAAAATATATGAAGAATGCGTTGCAAATCACGCCAGTTGACGATTCTGAATCACGAATGTTAGCCGATATCAGACGTCTTTTATCGAGACATTCCTGATACTTCAGTCGATTCCATGTCTTCATTTCGATCGAGTTCATCTGTTTATGTCTATTCAACCAATCATTCATGATTCGACATATACTCTTTCTTGTATTGTTTCTATCGTTACTGTAGATCACATCGTTAGAATACGATACTTGCAATTTGTATTCAATCGATTCTACATGAGAATATGGATCGGCGAGTTCTTCTGCTCGTTGAGCTTATTTGAGGTTTTCGTTTGTTACTTTTCATGTACTTAGTTGTTCAGATGTCTATTAGAAATATCTCTCATAGCAGTTTCAAAGTTTGCTAATTTAGAAGCATTTGATATGGACAGTCCGAGAACAACCGTACTTGTTCTCTGTAAACTAGGCGAACGACTGTTCATTCTGAAACTTTTCTCATATATGTACTTGTTTCCTTAATTTGTTCTTAAATCTCTGTTTCGCACTTCTCTTCTGTACAGAATTTTTTCATTTTCCATCAATATTATTGCGTAATCTGCTATCGTTTTGCAGACATCCTTCGTGCATTTGATCAGCTATTGTTTGAAGCATTTAGCGCTTTCTCTTTTGTTAGTTTCTTGAATGTGCGCATTAAACGTGAACTTAGAAGAATCTTTTATGTTAGGTGGCGATTTTGCTGTCCATTTTAATTGTAGACGCCTACCATAAAAAGAAAATTCCTTGATGCGTTGCAGATTTAGTTACAGTTTCAACACACGAGACGAAAATTTGCGGGTTAAATTTGCGGGCGTCGGAGGTGATTAGTTACAGTTGTTATGGATCATTATAAGATAGAATATCTTATAATCTTCCATCCGAAGATGCCATTTTGTTGAGCAGTTGACCAGAATTATTGGATATATTATTGTATCGTGAAATAGTGTGCATATGTTCAGGTTGTGGAACTAGCAACTGCAAAGTGATTTCAGTTACATGCGTTTAATTGTTTTCCATTTCGATTGTTCACTGAATTCCTTCAAAAGGTTGTTTTATTCTTCACAATGTAATTGAGTTGATTTTCATGGCATGAGATGACTGTTGTCTAGTTGATATTATTACTTCTGATGATCATTCGATGATTCGCGAATAACTAGAAATAAATTATTATTGTAGATGCTTGCAGTGTTTTAACATTAACAGTTTTACATCAGCAAATTCGTTTTGGTCTGTGTTGTTGATCAGCTTATTTCTTTGGATCACATTCTGACTGTGAATTCAACAAGTCAACAATCTCTGACTAGCTTGGCTCATTGCGATTTCCACGTTCCGATGTTTCGGTGACGTATCATGTAATCTGTCGATCGTGGGTGCAGTTGTTTGGTGGATACCAACAAAATGAGCAGTAAAGTCGTGAAGCGAAATGAGAAGCTGTTCTGGGTGGCCGTCGTCCGATCCAAACCATGTTTGAGTTGGGAACTCTCAAGAGTCGGGGTCGGCGGCCCCAAATTCTGTTCGCTTTTCTCAGTACTTCTGAGTTCGATTTCGCCCCTGACCTAATCCAGGACCGAATGCCTTATCGGTAACCATTGACAAGGTGAATTTTCAGTCAATGGCTACGAAAAATCAGACGTTGAGCTTTTTTGCTCAAAGCAGTGTTTTATCGCGTTGCAAAAGACAGCAAAAAATTTATCTTTTCAACTCACAAAACAATTCTCTGAAACAGTTTCAGCTTAACTCAATGCTTCCTTCAACACACTTCCTCTTAAGAAACCGATTGCTTTCATTTTACTGGTCAATTACCACCACGAGTTATGCTTCAATGCACGGTTCTTCACGCCCGTTACAACAACGCTTCAACAAGTCAATAATCGCAAATAGGTACCATCTGATTTCTTCTATTTTCCACTCGTCGTTCGTAGAATTATAACNTCTGATTCCTCTGGTCGCTCTGGTCGTTCTTTGCCTAGATGAAAAATGAGGTCATTTGGGTGGTGAGCAAACCTGAAATGTATGCGATCATTTTCGTGGACAAATTGATACACTTGATACAGTTGATTCTTCGTCCGGTTACCTCAAATCAACGAGCAAAATGAGTAAAACGAATGAACACTCATAATTGAACACTCAGAATACTCAGTACTGTTACTGAATAACCTCCAAACAAATTTACAGTTTCAAAGTGCTCTGACGCTCAAATTCACAGCTTCAGGTGCTCTGACACTCGATAATGCTTTCGTAAATTCTCTATCCATATTGATCACCTGTCGTTGTAGCGTATACATAGTTCATTGTTACTGTCGTCACATCGGCTATTTGCGATCGTTGACGGAAAATAAATCAAAAACAAAAATTTGATTATTGATGATGAACGTACATTCAGAATAACATCGCCTAGCATCACTTCATCATCAACTAAACCAATGCTGACTGCGGCTGTTTGTGCTGGAGCAGGTGGTTTTGCGTGGTATTCCAATAGAGCGAAGTCATCAAAAACGATCGCGATCGACGATCACTGCAACCAGTCGTCGTCTCGACTCAACAAGGGTTCGATTCGTACAGATCTCGAGCCGATTCGACAAATTTTCGAGGACATTCTCAAAAACGAACAACAAGGTCTTGCGTTGGCTGTCTACCACAATGACGAGTTGGTCGTGGATTTGTATGGTGGTTATGCGGACAGGTAGATTGATGGATAAGTTTGCTTCTATGTTTTTTGTTCGATCGGATGGTTTCTGACATAGCCTGCGTAATTGGTTGATGTTTTTACTGAATAAGGCCGAGTTTTAGAATGTTAGAATGTTAGTTATGTGATACATCTTGAAGTTAGCGTAGAAATCTGACCAACTGCTATGATTTTGGTCGTGAATTGTCTCATAGTCAGACGAAAAATTAAATTTTGAGAGCAGAGTTGACTTCTATCACGGGTTTAATCTTTTGGAAGCTTGTGATGGATTCAGTTGTTTCTCGCAACAAGTCAGCAATTTTGAACACACACACACA